TTTAAACATCTGCGTTTAGCTTCAAATGGTGTCTTTGACGACAGTATTATATAAAAATTATTTGCATTCCGATTCTGACATCCAAAAGCACAACAATACATTTTTCTCTTATTCCATGGATTTTACCCGTTTCCCTCCACTTGTTCCCAGTGTTTTTCTGCCACCACAATGCACACGCAGCTGCAAGTGATGTAACTGTGACGTCTACTCCAAATTGCTCTATAGTGACAACATGAAGTCTATATTTAATAAATTGTTGAGATTGCTAGATATTAGTTCAACATTACGCATACAGTTTTCACGTTTTCGTTTAAATATAATACACTTTTTTTTTAAATGATATAAAATACAAAATACACTACTGTTTTGTGAACATGACTACATTTAGTAAATACTGGATTTTCATCAAAGAATCCTGAAAAAAAGTATCACGGTTTCCACAAATATATTAGGCAGCAGAACAGTTTTCAACATTGATAATAATATTTCTTGAGCAGCAAATCAGCATATTAGAATGATTTCTGAAGGATCATGTGACACTGAAGACTGAAGTAATGCTGAAAATTCAGGTTTACATCAGGAATAAATTACAATTTACTATATATTACAGTAGGAAAGAGTTATTTTAAATTGCAATAATATTTCACAATATTACTGTATTTTTAATCAAATAAATGCAGCCTTGGTGAGCATTAGATACTTATTTTAAAAAGAAACCTTAAAAATTTTACTGACCTCAAATTTTGAACTGTAGTTTTCATATATATATAAAATACTTGAATAATTGGTTTCATTTTGTACTTTCTGATGGGAGTCCTGATGGGTGCTGGACGAAATGATGAATGACAGCAGCATTTCTAATGTAGCATTCCTCCAATCTTTGAATCATTTGCTGATTATTTTAAAAACACTTATTCATTTGAGATTGAAACAACCCTACTTCATGTTGCCCTGCTTTGACTTCTCTTAAGACCTGTTACTCGCTGTAATGTATGTCCTTTGTCCAAATCCATTGTCAAAGTTTTCTGTTTGTTCTCACTGAAGTTTTATCAGTATTGACACGTTTACACATGGTGTCACATGCAAACACAAAAATCACACACTAAGCAGAATGACTACCCTCTTTTTACACCTCAGCGTGAAGCTGCCATCTCCCCAGCTTGAACTTTCTAATTAACTTCTGTTCCCTTTTGTGTGTGTGCAGGAGAACCACTGCTTACGGATCAAGATCCTGGGGGATTGTTACTACTGTGTGTCAGGGTTACCTGAGCCCAGAGCGGACCACGCTCACTGCTGCGTGGAAATGGGGGTGGACATGATTGAAGCCATTTCGTAAGTCTCTCTTAGTCGTCAGTTCTTCGGAACATCAACCTTGTGAGATTTATTTCATATGAACAGTTGTGAGGTTAAATTATCTCATTTTTGATAGTGATCTGTGAATTTAATGTTGGATATTAAATGTTTTATGTCTATTTGTTTATAAGGGATTTGCGAACAAAATGTATACAGATTTGTATGGTAACAAATATTATTTTTATATTAAAGTCAAAGAGAGACCCCGACAGTTGGGGAAAATTACCAGGTGTTTTTATTATTTAATGTAATTATTAATATTATTTTATAATAGTTAGTTTAATAATAACTATTTATAATTCATTCCACGAATTAGATGCAAATTTATAGATATATATTGCAGCCAGTGTTGTTATTGGTATTTCAATGTATGTCAATTGAAATAAAGCAAAACTAAAATATTAATATTAGATAATAAACTTAAACAAAACTTAAACAAATATGAGAAATTCTGCGTCAGCCAACTAACTGAAATAACTAAAAAAATAAGTGAAATAAGTTGAAGTACTAAAATTTCTAAAAATAAAATTTAATTTAAAATAAAATAAATAAAAATGACAAAAGCACATAAAAATATAGCTGTAAGCAGCGATTACCGGGGTTCCAGCTCTTTAGGTATTTAAGCACACAAGGAAAAAGACATTACATATTATTTAGCAAGCCTGTAACCACCTAAATCAATAATTAAAAAAGCATTTTTGTCAAATCCAGGTGATTTACCATAGAAATATGATATTTTTATAACGTTTATGACTGTTATAGCGCCAGCTGTGGTCCGATCTCCCTGAAACTTTGCATGCTTGTTTAGAATCACCTGTTCGCATGTGCTCAGCGGGTTTCGTGAAGTTTTGAGTTTTCGTTGAGACTTTATAGGCTTTTGGGTATATTTGGATAGGCCCCTTTTCTAAAGGACCCCATTATAGCTTCCCAAAGGGTAAATTTCGACATGTTTTTGATAATTATTGACCTAGAGAGTCCAGAGAATTGCACTGCAGTGGTTTTTTCCAGATTGAGCGAAAAACCTAGGACTAGTTCGCAAAAGTAGGTTTTTCACATCTTCTCAATCCTTTAAAAAATGGTTTGATTGCCAGCAGTGGTTCTAGAGGCAAAGTTGTTCGGAACGAAGAGATCTATCATACGATATGAATATCACGTGTATGTGCGGAAAACCGTGCAATGTACAATCTTTTATGCCCTCAAAAAATGCAATACCGCCCCCCCAGGGGCTGATTTCTTTCAAATTTCTCACTGACCATTGGGGCCGTGAGTCAAACAGGCCCATCGAGTTTCGTTCCGATCGGCCTCTGTTAACCTTGTCTAATAGGTGCTCAAACTTCGTCGGCCAATGGGGGTGTTTTTTTGAGATACGCAAATGTCCCCATAGTCACTTGTGGCACTTTGGACCAAGACTTTTCATGTTGATAGGACAAATGGTTGCCTATTTATAGCCATTTTTTCCCCTCTTACAGCACCACCAAGTGGCAAATCTCCACGATTTTTTCCCCTGTGACCTCAGCTTGAGCTCTTACATAAGTGTTCCAAATTTCGTCAGGCTCATGATCGAATCCGGTTTAGGAGTTATGAGCGATTTTGTACTTTTGATCGCTGTAGCGCCCCCATCAGGCCGATTGGGGTGAGCCTCGGTCACGTTGTAGGCAGTGTGAGTACTACTATCCCTCCAAGTTTCAAGTCTCTACGACTTACGGTTTGGTCTGCATAATCAGTTTTACGTGGAAATCGCTCATCCGTGACCATTCTAACAATTACAATAGGGTTTCAGCACTACGCGCTTGAACCCCTAATTAAATTACTAAAACAAACCAAATGTAAAATCAAAAACTGCTAATAAAAGCTAATATGGACTACTAGTATGTAAAAATAATACTAAAATAACACTGATTGCAGCTTGTGATTTAACATGTTTGTGTTTGTGTCAGATTGGTGCGAGAGGTCACAGGGGTCAATGTAAACATGCGGGTCGGTATCCACAGTGGTCGCGTGCACTGTGGAGTTCTTGGATTGAGAAAGTGGCAATTCGACGTGTGGTCCAACGACGTCACGCTGGCCAACCACATGGAGGCTGGAGGCAAAGCCGGGTGAGAGTCAGACATATAAACACAGCACAGTACACATAGCACTGGGCAGACCGTTTAGTAAATGTACCATTAATGTAACATTAACATTGTTGACACAGCTGAACCTGATTTTATTCCTCAGGAGGATCCATATCACTAAAGCTACTCTGCAGTACCTGAATGGAGACTATGAGGTGGAGCCAGGTTTTGGAGGGGAGAGGAATGCCTATTTGAAAGAGAACAGCATTGAGACCTTTCTAGTGTTGGGCTGCAGTCAAAAGCGGGTTAGACACGTCATTTTGTGCTGAGTTCATGCAACAAAATTTTTAAGATGATTGCGCTATAACCTTTACCATCTTCAAATGTCACCAACAAGCAACATCTCTGCTATAAATATATATATATATATATATATATTAGGGATGTGC